GTCGGGACAAAGAAAACTGTCCGCTATAAGTGGGTGTCCGCATTAAGCGGGTGTCCGTAGAGCGGGGTTGCATGTAGCCAAGGACAGGTTTCGTTTCAGTTCCATCATCTTGTCTGCTGTTACCATCCCAAAAAGTTGAAAATTGAGCGCCAACAAAAGGCCAAACCGCGAGAGAAGCAATGCGCCTATTTTCACGATTCGTGTTCTCGGAGACATTTTGATTCTCCCGGGATCAGACTCTTCGCAAGCAATTTCATATTTGGCGCCGAGGCTAAAAGTTTGGCCCAGGTGGAAATTCGTCATGTAATCGCAGCAAAATTTCAGCCCCCGCTAGCCGGGCTGAAATTCACCATGTAATCAGGTCCTTACTTGCTACCGATCACACCCTCCTTCCCTAAATCTCAAAAAAAAAAAAAAAGAAAAGAAAAAAGAAAACAAAAACCACGCCTGATCGCAAGTTAATCTTTTAAATCAGCCCCCAATTAGAGAAATTGTCCAGGATTTCAGGCAAGTTGGGGTTAAGAAGCGTGAGATGTGATTTCATATAACCTTATCAGTTGTATCTGGGGTTCCACATGAAAGATTGTACGGTAAACACACAATAAATACACAGATATGAACTTTGAAAAGCTGTTAGGCTGAAGGGTTTTCAAAAACCCCCATTGTAATCCCCTTAAATCTTCTACAATTTTGCCCATCCTTGCTTTCTTGTTTGTTTAATGAGTTATTTAAGCCATCCTTCGTTATTTTTTCCCTTATTTTGAACTATTTTGTACGATCGTTATATTCCCATAGAAACTCTTATAATAACGTTGTTACGCAATGCCATGTTGACGGTTCCCAAAGCAGCTTGGACTACCTGTGTTTGGACTCCCATGGGTGCAAAGAACATTGTGATATGTACTGTGCTGGCGAGATGTAAAGCTTCCCAAAACGGCAAGCGGAGTGGAGTACTTGGAGTTTAATGAAAGACAGACAAAAAGTAGAAGTGGATCAGACTACAGCGATGTCAGAGCTGTACCACCGAAAAAGGTTTGCGACCGACGCTGCATGCCGACGGAACTGAAAGAAATCCTGTCGCGGTTTACAAATTTTTTGCCAGGAAGAGACCTGAGGAAATGAATTAAGGCGATGCTCCCTTTTACCTGGCCGTAAACAACACTTAAAGGGCGGACTCGCTCGCAAGAAAAGGCTGGTTCAAGTCCGGCGCTGCTGCCGTCAACAAACTCAACGGTTCAATGAAGACAATCGTTCAGAGGGCTGGAATTCAAAACGTCAGGCTTCTAGACATTTGACTTTATTGATATATGTTGAACACAGTAAGTTTTGTAAAATTTTATAAGCTTTCATTAACCTAGTTGTTGTTGAGCGATTTTAAACTTAATAAATTGACGTCAGTTTTTTATGCGTCTGTCCTCTTATTGATGATAAATTGCGT